TCCTTAAGGTACCAGCACAATAACACACTCAGCAAAATATTGTCTAATTATCGTTATCGATAAAATCCCAGAAAATATCGAGATATCATATTTTGTCAATATCGCACACCCCCCCTTTGAATTGCGTATCCTAATCAAACCAGTAGGAAAACTGATATGATTTGAGATGTCGAGTTCAACTGATCCAGCATGTCAGGGTTATTTTTCTCAGGAACTTTGAGCTCAGCATCAGTCAGAATAGCAAGTAGTCTAATTACTCTTGAGTATAGGCAAAGGCAGAGAGTTCTGATTGTACATGTGGAGAGTAAATTCACTCTGAGAGTGAGTGTGTGTGTGTGTGTGTGTGTGTGTGTTTGTGCGTGCATGTGCTTGAAATAAATAATTTCAAAAATAGATTTCACAAGCCTCTCAGAAGAAATCATCCTTCTGCATTCCTCATTTGCTCTTCAAAGACTGAAGTGTATAATATTATAATCAGACATTTTCTCATCTCTGGGAATTTCTGTTCCTTTTCATTTTAAGTGTTCTGATATTGTTACACTTTAATTTCTCATGTAGAGCATTTACCCTGCTCTGTTTCTCTTCTAAGCAGTACAAAGAGATTGTATTACACACACAGGCACTAATGACTAATTTAGCTGTGTGTAATCATTTTTCATGTAACCCAGGGCAGGAAAGGTTCTGGTGTATCCTACCTGCTGTTAAATCCAATGCAATGAAATACATTTAGGTATTTGTTGTCCACAAACCTTAGTCATTTCATATTGTTTATGCCTGAATTTGATAAATTGATAAATTTGGATTTCCATCAAAGATAAATTATGTATATATGCCTTTAGTTTACAGCATTATTTCTAACAGATGTTGCTTCAGCTTTCATGGAGCGGGTCTATTAACATGTGATGGATGGGAAGGAGCAGCTATTCTGGCAGTTCAGAGGAAACCTGGTGTTTGATGTGGACAGAGGTTTTAACTTCTCTGTGTCTGGCTTTTGAAGGATACTGTATGCTTCTGTAGGAACAATACGTCTTTCTTTCTGTGCCTGTATAACTCTTTCTAACTCCATAACTGTTCCTCTGTATTTTTCTGGCAGTTCAGGCATGTGCATCTGCAAGATTGGAATGCACGGGGACAAGTGTGATGCATGCTGCCCAGGCTTCTCGCACTTCAACAGCACGGGGTGCCAACCTTGCCAATGCAATAATCATAGCAGCTACTGCCACCCACAATCAGGTGAGCCACCCACATGCACACAACATAAGTAGCCAAAGAACCTCAATCTCCAGAAACTTCATGTTATCTATCTAATTAGTCATTTAACTGATGCTTTTATCCAAGTACATTTATTACAGTGACAAACCCCTGGAGAAAGTTGAGATTAAATGTGAAATTAATAATGATAGTGCACGGATAGCCCCTTGCCGGGATGGAATTGGTCATGTATTGATCGGTGGAATCAGCTGCTTTATGGTCATTTTCTGTGTAGATTGCAGGTTGTGCAGATTGCACATCTGCAGATTGTCTAAAAACATACAATGATCAGATCTGAGTACTGTGATTTTGCTGTATTTATGCAGATTTACGTGTTTTCCAACCTGGGAAGTATGACACACATGAATCGCAATATGTCATTAAACAATTACTAAACAAACTGCAAAATGGTGTGTTTTCAAATACATTTGTATTTAATAGGGGTGGGACAATATGATATGGCGATATATCGTTGTCCTTCTCCATGCGATACGAGAATCGATATCTGGTGGCAAATATCGATATTTTAATTACTACAATAAGGCGCTCTAAATAGATTTCCCTGCTCCAAGCATCTAAAAATGCATTTCCACCTTCTTTCCAAAGCGCTCTGAGCAACCATGTACCACGTTCTCTATGAAGATGGGGAAGCACGAGGAACTGAAGGATAAACAGATTTCCAGCCACTGTATTAGCTCTACTGCTGTATATATGTTTATGGAAATTAGAAAATTATACTAGCGGCTGTGTGCTGGACACCCTTAGCATGTCAGCCAGGGTTCAAAATTTAACACTTGCCAAGTGCCAAATGTAAGTAAAAATAGTTTTTTGGCTAGTATATGAAATAGTGTTACTCACCAGTTGATCCAATTATCAAATCACAAGAGCTGTGTTTTAAATTATATAAGTATACAGTTGGCATGTGCCATTGTGTTACTTGCGAGGAGCTCATGAACCGGTGTTTTCAGTGTCTATAAGTGTCTAGGTGAGTTTGGGACATTTACAATGTTTATAATTTGCAAAACACAATGCGTTTTCAACCATCTTTGCAAATTTGTAATGAGAATGGTTTATAAATCTGTTGTCAACAAAACAAAAAATCTTTAAGATCTCCAAACGCTTTAATAGCTCAAAATAAAAATGTTATGTTTAATATTTGCAAAAAAAAAAAAAAAAAGTGAAAACAGACACAAAAATTAGTGTTGTAATTTTACTGTAAAATAAATATTTATTGCCTTTTTAATTTTATTTTTTTTATTACAGTACTTTAGAGGGTGGTTCAGGTTTTCCTTTTTGAATCCTTGTCTGTGTTGGTTAAAAATGATAGCAGAGTTACAATTAGAAGCATGAACAACCAAAACTTCAAAATTACGTTTTTTTTAAATAAAAATCTAGAAAACAAGCAGTGCAACAATATTACAAGCCTCCTATTCCATTATAATGGGCATTAAGAACCACTGCATTAGAGAAAGCAGCCTGTTATAATTTTCAGTATCTAGTGTTATCTGCAGAATAGGCTTTTTCCCCGCAATTATTGTTAAGTGAGAACGTATTTTTATAATGATATCTTGGAACAGAAGCCTGACATCTCAAATATTTTTTAGGTATTCTTTCTCTCTTTTTTGATATTTGATGCATTGTCCCTATAGCTGTCTGGGCTTTTTTTCCCTATCATCCATTTGTGCCACTCCAGTGGTGTTTAATGTTCCTGTCAGCATGCACTCTGCTTTCAAAAAGCCAATAATGTACATTACGTCAGATACCACAGCAGGAGTCAAACTGTCCCAGCCAGTGCCTCCGAGCTGGTGAATCTCGCCAGCCATATATATGTCCATGCAGTGAGACCAACGGATATTGTTTCATTAGTTCAGCACAATTTGAGCTGTTGTAGAGAACCAAGATGTGTATCTTGTGTAGCTCTTTTGTGTTTTCTACACACCATTCTTGGCTTAAACATTTGATCTTATTGTACATTTTAGACCTGAAATAATCCTGTTTCCCGTCTGATTTGCCAGATCAGCTGTTGTCAATATGTTGGTGCATTCAATTTACATATCCACAGCAGAGATTTCCTTTTCAGAAATTAAATTTCTGTTCACTATGATACAAAAACCATCAAAACCTTCACTGCTAGTTTTAGTTATTATGGCATTTATCAACAGAATGATAAACAAGTAAGGGTTTTTTTTTTTTTTTATACTTCCTCGGGTCTTCTGGAAAAGTCCAGGGACTAACTACAAGACTTTTAAACTTGTTATAAATGCTGTTTATTATCTGTTGAATGATTTTGTAGATTTAATTTGCAGCAGTTTAAAATTGAACTGTCGAGCTCGGGCTTTGAGGACTTTGACCTTTCTGTGTAGTGGTGCCACGGATCACAAAACTCACGGTTCGGATCATATTATGGATTTTGAGTCACGGATTGGATCATTTTTCGGATCAGAAAAAAAATAAATAAATACATTTGTGAAAGCTTACTTTAAGTACTTCTATACCACAGCACAAACTACTATCTTAACTAATAAAGTTAGTAATAAAACAAGAACAATTACACAAATTACAAGCATTGATGAATACGAATACAACATAACACAGTTACAAATAAAGTCAGTAACAGTAGTATTCAGGTACAGAAATGTAATAACTAAGTGTAAAATAACACAATAGTGCTCACTGCACAAGTTAAATACAGATTAATCTTCGTTAGATCTGTGGTGTTATTTGATTGGCAGAAGCAGGTATTTATTGGCTGCTGTCTCTTTAAGACCAAATGCACGGACATTAAAAATTCAAAGGATCAAAATTAGAGAGGACTTACAGATGATACCTCCAAGTTATTGGTGTTAATCTGGCACCTGGTGCTAATTTCCTTAATTATATGTCTAGGACGGTACACAAACATGACGGTTCGATACGTACCTCGGTTTTGACGTCACAGTTCGGTACAGCAGGGGGGACAACTAAACATTTTTATTTTATTATTAAACAGTGGTTTACTGAACAAATCGCTTTTTCTTTAAATAAATGAAATTATAATTAAACATTTCTTAGGGATAAAAATCTACCTCAGTTTATGCGCTAAACTATGGGAGCCCTTTTATGTTACTATAAGGTTACAATTAACAACAGAGCCCAAACTTAAATTTAATTACTATTTATTTTTAAACATAATAATCAACACTCAACTTAAAGGGATAGTTCATCCAAAAATGAAATTTAGCCCATGATTTACTCACCCTCAGGGCATCCTAGACGTATCTGACATTCCTCTTTCAGACGAACACATTCGCAGTTATATTTAAAATTGTCTTGGCTCTTCCAAGCTGTATAATGACAGTGAATGATGCCCCTGTTTTTGAAGCCTAAAAAACTGCATCCATCCATCATAAAACTACTCCACACGGCTCCAGGGTGTTAATAAGGGCTTTCTGAAGCGAAACGATGAGTTAGTGTAAGAAAAATATTGATTTTTAAAAATGTATAAACTGTAATCTCCAGCTTCCGGTCGCTCAAGCGGGCACGTTCACGACAAGGCGTTCGAGCATATGACGTAAGTGTAGTGGAAGGCGCAACATAAGCTCTGGGGAGAGAGTGCACAGAGGAGAAGAAAAAAATAAAGCACCTGTCACAAACTAATACTACTTACAAAACGAAGATTCTGAGTGAAAAATGTCGGAGGATTTTGATGTAAGGCAAGAGAAGAATGAGTTTTTTGCCCAGCCATATTTATTTGAACCAGAGTATACCGACCAGGAACCCCACGAGATGGAGGAGGCTGCAGCGGTGGCAGCACAAAGTATAGATGTAGTTAATGTGGTTTCTCTGTGCTGTAAACAAAACTTGGTTCTCACGAGACTACTCTCTTCTCCCCAGAGCATATTCTGGCGCCTTCCACTGAGCCTACATCATACGCTCGAACGCCTTGTCATGAACGCTCCTGCTTGAGCGACCGGAAGCTGGAGATTACAGTTTAGAAATGTTTAATGCTTACACTTATGCATCATTTCACTTCAGAAGGTCTTTATTAACACCCCGGAGGCGTGTGGAGTAGTTTTATAATGAATGGATGCAGTTTTTTAGGCTTCACAAACAGGGGCACCATTCACTGTCATTATACAGCTTGGAAGAGCCAAGACAATTTTAAATATAACTGCGAATGTGTTCGTCTGAAAGAGGAATGTCAGATACGGCTAGGATGCCCTGAGGGTGAGTAAATCATGGGCTAATTTTCATTTTTGCATGAACTATCCCTTTACAATAAAATGTATGCAAACATGTAAATTGCGCATAATGGAGTTTTTAAATTAACTTATAAATTTGAAATATAGCCTATTAATTTACACAATGGCTCTCATAACTTGTTTCGTAACAAATGTATTTAAACAGTCTAATATTTTGTGAAAAATTCTTCTCTAGACTTTATTTAAAGCAAACTAATGAGCTGTGGATGCTGATGACTTGCCTGAGGTAAATGAAATTGTGACATTTTGTTTACAAGCTGTTTAACTGACTTTTACGATTACATGAGGCGTGAGATGTTCATTCGTGTTTATTTCGCATTGAAACTAACAGTAAAGAGGAAGGGGCGTTTATACGGCAATCTGTTACGCCACATCAAAGAGCATCAAAACGACATTTATTGTTTCAATTTCCTGAAAAAAACAATTTAAAAGATGAGACTTTGTTTCTTTTCAAAAGTAACAATATAACTGGAAGTTTCCAATAAAGTTCCACTCGTGCAGTGGTTAAAACAATGCTTTATTTGTTCAGTGCACATGCGTACCGAACCGAAATAGCTGTACCGAAAATTTTCAGTAGAAATACGTGTACCGTTACATCCCTATGACAAACCCTATTTAACTGGCAGCATTCCTCCAATTTTCACTGAGATTGCAAGATGGAGGGCCGCTCTAAGGTGACTGAAACCCTGCGACAGGAGGTTGTCCAGATGAAGGCCAAAGGGATGACCCTTTCAGATGTGC